ATATGCAATATAATACAGGAAATATCTATAACCACATTCCATAAATTACGCAATATAATTTAGGAAATATCTATAGGCACATTCCATAAATTACGGCAGAAAAATTTAAATTTCACCAAAATTAACTTGGCCGCCGTCAAAATTTTATCTTAATGGCTAACTATCATTAAAAATTATCAATTTACAAAAAATTCTTGCAAAAAACTTTTTTAAAATAAAATCTTAAAAATTTTTCCATTTTTAATGCTAACAATTCTGAAAGATTTTTAATGAATAAATTGTATAACAAGTAAATAGGGGAAAAAAGGTCAAGATGGCTTTTCATATAACCACTCAACAAACAAATAAAAATGGTTGAAAACGAAACTGTATTTACCTTTTGTATTTTAAAACGCCTGTTAGTTTTTTTAAGTATTATTAACGCAATTTTATAGCAGAAGCTTACTTTTTTAACTATAAAAAAAAATACCTCTATACCTATAACCAGTTAAATAATTACAATATATGACGTTTAGAAATAAAATTTAAATCTAACCAGATATTTCAAAACATAAAATAACGTTTAGTAACATAAAGAATATATATAAAACTAAATATTTCAAAATAAAATAATACATTCAAGAATCACACACTTTTTTAAAAGGTATAAAGTCAAAAGAACTCAAAGATATTATCAATTGACAAGATAACTTTTTTCAGCTTAATTTTAAAAGTAAGAAAATCCGACTTTGAGGAAAATTAAAATTTTTCAAAACTATTTTATTCCGCAAATAAGCTCCGCGATATGTAAAGAGAGATCTTCCAAAACTTGTATGAGAATAATGTTGATGAATAAGATTGTCATTTCTTAAGTCATATTTGTTTTTTTATTTTATTGCATATAAATTTTGAAAGGATATTGGGGTTAGGTTTATCTTACATTTGTACATAAATAAAAGAGCATTAAAAATATTTTGCTGGTATATGTTAAGAACATTCATTTCCAATAAAAGAGGTCTGGAATGAGTTGAACGATCTTTAAACCTCAGTTTTGTTTGTTCATAATAAATGGTGTCCTTTGGGAGTAACTTTTTCAGAAATGCAATTTTGCAACGCGTGTTTATTTTGTGTTAATTTAATAAGAGTAGTTTTCAAAATTTTATCAAATTAGAGGCAGAAACCGAATAATAAATCATGTTGCCCTGGTCAAGACCAGATGACAAATTTATGAACTTTTTATTTGAATTTTTATTACAAGTTTTTCTACTTTCAAACTGAAAATTCATGTAGATAATGAATCATTATGATAACATAAACATGCTGACAATGTATTATTGCTTTATGGCAGATAGTTTTGCAACAACTTAGGGCTTTCAAAACTTTTGCCATCTTGCCCCGTCTTTCCCTACTACTTTAAACTATGTTGCCAATTAACACTTATTTATATTACGCGATAATATCTACATAGCTATGTAGATCTGATAAATTATAAATAAGTGTTAATTGGTCATATAGTTTAAAGTAGTATGGAAAGACGGGGCAAGATAGTGAACGTTTTAAAAGCGCTGTGCATAGTCCCATAAGCCTAGTCCCTATGCATAAAGACTGCACACAAGTAAATACATTTAGTTAAAAGTTTTTGAAGGAAATTAAACCATCGTCATTTATTAAATGTTGAAACGTGATCAACAATTTATGTCTTTTTCTTGTGATTGAAAAAATAGTAACTAAATAATTAAATTTTGGTCGTATATAACCTTGCAAAGTATAGATGATTAATTTTTAAAAAATTTAGTTTAATTAGATACCCAGCAGGTTAATGCAACGTTGGCTAATACAGCGTTAATACAACTTTGCGTGTCTTCAAGGGGTGCTTATATTTTATTAACTTTCATATAAAAATAAGAATAATTTGTCCGATAAAATATGTGTTCACAGATTTTGTACGGCTTCATGCATAGTTTCATTAGCAACTGTTAGTATTGTGGTTTTCAATTTCTGGACAGTAAAATTGTAGCTTTTATTGCTTAATTTCGAGAACAATTTCCGCATTAAAATTTGCTAACTTTAAAATAATATTAAATACCTTCTTTAAACGTTTTGTATTTAAATTAAAAAAAAAATTTAAAATCTATATATCCTTGTTATAAAATATATATGTCAAGCGGAATAAAATAAACTTTTGTCATTATTACAGAGAAGCTGTCTTCGGCCAACTAAGATTTGATAGACTTATCTTCATGCCTTAAGGTTAAAATTCTAAAAACTAACTAATGATTGTATTTTCTATATAATTTTTTGTTTACGCTCATAAATAATTTACAAAAAATTAGTTTTTAACGCACTCGGTGTAGTCAAAATATTATAGCGTCTCTATGATATTTTGTTGACTACGACATATTTCCGTTAAATGGTCTGCTCTGTGAATTATGAAAAGACGCAAAAAATTAAAATATTAATTATAAATTTTGCGGTATCATAAAAATGTAGCGAAAAAAAACCCAGACCGTGGAATTTTTTTTTTTTTAAAAAAAATCATCTTTAAATCACAATCGCTCGTTCAAATTTAAATAAGATTTTATATTGGTAAGTTTTTTAGGTGAAATAAACATTATAGTTTAACAATATGATCTGTTCTGATCGTTTATTGGAAATTTTCCATAATTATAACCTCTTTCTTGGTCGGAATTCCAGTATTTTTTGTGAAAATTGATAGAAAAATTGTACTTTGACAACTATATATAGTTAATATACGTCAGAACCAATTAGAACTAGGATCAGTAGTAAATTAAGGAACTTTTTTAAAAGATTTTAACTAAATTCATGTTAATGCCGATGAGCGGAATTGATCTAAAGACTCCAAAATAGTGTTCTTTAGATACATTATTACGGGTTGTAAAAAGATTTTAAAAATTATATATAAAAAAGAAAAGTTTCTTTAAATATTATAAAAACCTTGAGCAAAAAAAATCATAACATTTAAAGATCTTGTTTGGCTGACAAAACCTTGCTAATTCCAAATAAAAGTATTCGAATATTTTGTAAATCGCCTTAACTACACCGAGCACTTATATTTATAAGTTTATCACTCTCAAATGCAAAAGAAATAGTTTTGTAACTTGCACTAAATAGTTTAAATTAGCTAGCTTTTCATATATACCATCAAACTTGACTTGTTTAACAACAGATTTTTTGAGTTTTTTGTTTAAATTTTTGTTTGTATATATATTTATATAATGATTTTTATTGGAATAACTGCTTTGGTCAGACAAGTTTTAAAGTATAAACAAATAAACAACGTCGCGCAAATTTATTTTTTCGTAGATAATCAGACTAATTTCAGGTAATTAGTTAAATCCTCTTCTGTCTCATATGTTTGTCAACAAATATTATCTGATTCATTTGCATTATTTTTTTGTTACGGCGTCAATATTTTTTGTTAATACTGACTAAGATTGTATTGACTGAAATTTTGAGATTACTCATTTAGTTATGCGTAAATCCGTACTTTATGAAAACGATTTTTTCGGCAAAATATTGTGCAAGACTTCTTAAAGTTTGTAAAAGTTGCGTAGTATAAATGTTTCGAAATTATATAACTTTTAGTGACACTCTCTTTATTATTACTTTCTTAAAACAACATGAAGCCGTATGTTTACCGTGAAACAGTACCATGTTAAGATGTTTTCTTATCATCTCAAACGATAAAAAGTACGTTTACGTTTTCAAAGACGTTTAGTAGAAAACTCCATCACCACTTTAAGTCTATTTTTCTTCACTTGTGTAAATTAGCACCGTTAAAATATGACTTCAAGATCTCTTATTTAAAATAAGAAATCTTGAAGCACGGATTTGAGATAAAACTATCTTGAGATATAAAATCTATATCTTGAGATAAAAATATTTCTATAATATATAGAAAAATATATTTTTTCTATAATATATAGAAAAAAGTAGAAAACATTTCTGTATTTTATTGACAGCTTTCCGGTAACCTGAAACGTGATTTTTTTTTAACAAATTTTTGTTTTTAACATGTTGATTTTTGTTGTGTCATGTTTAAAAGTTAAAAACATTAATTCATTTATTATCTAATAACAAGATTATAGATAAAAAGTAATAATAGTATAAACAATTATAAGATTACAGATGAAGCGTAAAGACGAAAACAATTAGTTTAAAAACAAAAGTTGATTTGAAGTTATTTATGAAAATTTTATTGCGTCATCTGCACATATATAACTTTTTGCACGTATAACTTTCGTTTTTATTTGTTTGGTAGCGTTAGGTACCGGTATTTTTAGAGAAAATAAAATAGCGAAATTAATACTTAAAAGTAAATTCCAATTTAAGTTCTATTAAAAAATTTTTGTGAATAAACTATTATTTCTGGCTTAAGAAGGTAAATAATGTTAAGTTTAAAAATTTTAATTTATTTATTTTTAAAATTTGCCGAGATTTTTTATTATCACAACAAAAAAATTCTTGTTATTATGAAAAAGTGTTTGTTTACATACCGTGAAAAACTGCAACTACAAAAAATAAATCAAATTTTTCATGTTTTGACTTTTAAATAATTTTTGATTTACACAATTTAGCCATTACTAAAGAACAAATAGTAGAAATGTTTTTAAAATGTTTTTAAATTAAATTCGCTTTCAAAATATAAATCCTAAACAATATTGAAAAAATAAAAAAAGTTTCCAACAAATTAATGGATCTCTGATTATGTTTTTATTTTTTATTTTTATGCAACTTTTTCTAATTTTTTTTTAGTAGAGGTATAGCTTTTAAACTTAGTTTTTTCACACTATTGAACTTTGTTCAATAGTGTGAAAGTTGTTTTTGTTAATGCCTGTAATATTACGTTTAGCTGCACTGGTAACTCTTTATTACCACAAAACACTTAACTGTTATTTGTGGTATTTAACATTTTAATAGTAGATCTATTTTTGTTTGTTTGTTAAGATTTCTTGTTTTAAGTTTCTTTTACATCATTATTAGGCTATAATTATTAGATTAGAATAATCACTGAATAGAATTGGTTGAAATGTCTCATATTTTATATCTTGCTGCTGAGATGAATATCTTGAATCAAAACATTCAGATTTGACAAGCATCATAAAATAGATCTTTATGAGATAAGTTAGGTTAATATTTCATTTGTCAATATTTTTTTCATTCGAAATAGCATTATTAGATATTTGAAATAGAGTTTTTGTTGTTCTCTCTTATTTACATAGGAGAAAGTGAAAAAAGTTTATTTTTAAATTGATTTTGTTACTTTATTTTATTTAGCTTATTATAGATAGATTAAAGTTAGTTATTTATATTAAGTAAAGCTGTTATTACTTTTGTAATAGTTTTGGTCTTTCCTGTCCTTGAATCACAGTTCAAAATTTATTATTTTTCAAACAAAAAAATTATTATGTAAAATTATTATGCACAATTATTGTCTATGTTATGTTAGTTTTATAAATATTACTTGTTATAAAAAGTAGTGACAAAAAACACTCAAATGAAAAACATAAAAATAAATTAAACTATGTCAATTGCTTATTATTACCTCATGTTATTGCTTAGGCAAAAAAAGGAAGCTGTTGGCGCAAAACACTTTACGCTTTGACTCAAAAAAGTGGCGAGGTGTTGTCTGAGTGCCTCAGATTATCACACTAGGTTTTTGCTGTAGTTGTGGTGTTCAGCAAAAGCTGTACACCACAACTTCCAATACAATAGCCACTTGAATTGAGAGTAATACCTTTTTGCTGTGTGGGTTGACTGAGTTGGTTTGGGCATTTCTTTTGGCTCTAGCCACTGACACTTCCTGGTTTGGTTTACATAGAGTACCCACTTCTATGAGTATTACAAGGGCATCTTTAATGCATCATTGAAATTGAATTCATCCACCTTAAATACTATTTTGAGATTTATGTTTGTTGCATTCTATTAAATAAGTTAATGGAAACCTTGAATCAGATAAGGTTGGTGTTATTTAATTGAGAAATCTAAAAACCCAAAATTTTATAATAAAATACCTATTACTCTTTGAGTCCTTAATACAAGAGGGGAGGAGGGATAAAAGAGGTGAGGCAAGAATTTTAGTCCAGACCTAATAACCAAACATTTCTATAACATGGTATGTGTCCTTGTGGTTTTGTAGAGAAATTTAATTTGCATGTCTCAAATTTTCTTTGTCTTAAGGTACATATATAATATGTTCTTTAAGCACTAATATAACAGTTTTTACATACATATAAGTCATTAGATTAAAATATTGATTATCTTTCAGTTGTACTCAGACTGTGTTTTGTTTCAGTTGTACTCAGACTGTGTTTTATATTGTTTGTCAAGGTTTGTGATTTGGAATTAAAGATTTGATAGAGGATTATATTAACAATTAAAGTAATGAAAAATGAGCTACCTTTTTGACTGTAGTTTTCTCCGCTGCCAACAGGAGGTAAATTAATATCTAGGTAAACCTAATATTGTTATCAAGAAAGGTAAATTAACCATTCTACTTTTTGCACATGGGTCTATTCTAATTGCCTTTACCATAAATATTACAGATTATTCATTTTCAGAACACTAATCAGAATAGTCTTGGACAGAATAGTCTTGGACATAGTAATATATATGTTGAAAAATAATAATTTTCAATTCATTTGGTGTTTGATGTTTAGGCAATTGATGAAGTTAATGATAATTTTGCTTTTTTTTATTTTTTACATTTCTAAATTTATTTAAATTTAATAAACTTAAAACTATTGCTATCATCAAGGGTTTTATTTTTCATAAAATTGATGTCAGCTTTAAATCTGGATTCATACTTTTCAAACCACTGTACCGTACAATGGGCCAAAATTGAAGTCTAAAAATGGCAAAACTATTTATGGGTTAAATATAGACATATGGTACATGTTAATAAGTCTAAATATAGGTAATTGCGGTCATGGAAATCAAGTCTAGGCAGATTCGGTCTATGAAGTGATCATAGCTGCACTAATGGTCATTTTAAGGGTGGTAAAGGGTGGTCCTGAAATGTACCAATGGTTTTTTAATTAAATGAGACATGTTGTATGTCTAATATAGTTATTATAGGTAATTGAGATCAAGGAATTCAAATCTGGGCATATTTAGTCTCTGAGAGTGGTCATAACCATACAGGTGGTCATTTTAGACACGGTCCTGGGATTTTCCAATCGTTTTCAAATTAGATGGGACAGTTGTATGTCTTAATATAGGTAATTGAGGTTAGAGAATTCAAATATGGGCATATTTGGTTTCAGAAGTAGTTATACATCAAAAGTGCCTTCACCTACTCAGGTTGATTGCCTGATTCCCTGACTCCTCCTCATTCTGAACACCTTAGTATTGTAGCTGCAAAGCATTTTCATCATAAAATTTAAGTTTGTCTGGCCTGGAGAATTTCATTGTGTAGTGCTCTCTATCGTTTTAGTGTAAAATAATAATATTAGGTTGTATTAGGGTGCATGCTATTTTTCACAAATAATTGACTGTTTTTCTATAATTGACCATTTTTCACAAATAATTGACTGTTTTTCCAGGGGTTATTTAAATGTACAAAACACATTTGATCCATTTAAAGTTCAATTTTCTAATTAAAAACAGCATTTAAGAAAAGTTGTTTGAACAAAATTAAAATTAAAAATACTAGATGATGTAGTTTTTTTGGTTTCCACAAAATGAGAAACTAAAAATCTTTTTTTCTCGTAAACAAAATAATTTCTTTTTAATAAACTAAACTTTTCTTTTTACATAAAAACTATTTGCATATATAAATACAAATAATTGATAAACATTTCCCATCCATAAATTATCTTTTTACACATGTTCGCTTAAATTTAACACAAAATAATCCACAAAAATGTACATTTAAAAACTGCTTGAACATAACAAAAATAATTACAAATAAAAAAATTAATAAACGAAAATCACATAGTTGTCATAGGCTATGTGATTTTATGTGTTCCATAACTTTCTACAACAACATTAAAAGTGCTATTTAAAATAGGCTTTAACAGGATTTAAACGATTTAAAATCTAAAACCGTTCTTTTTCATCTTTCGAGAGTGAAATTTAAAGTTGAACATTGTGTGACCGTGTGTTTTTCTGCTTGTGTAAAGGTAAGTGTTAAAAGGTTGCGCGTATTAAGGGGTTTTCTTGAAAAACACTTTGAAAAAATGCAAGCATGAAAAATAAATATTCATATATCTTCTTCTATCAATCTATGATGTTTATGAACTAATATATATATTTTTTATTTTTTTATTTTATAAACCTTTAAAAAATTAAAATGTTTTAAAATTGTCTTCATGGAATCGTATTTTTTTTATATGATTTTTTTTATTCCGACCAATATTTGTAATATTGATATACTGAACTCAAAAATGATAGTAGGAAAAAAATTATATTAGTGGTAGAGTGCTGGGGGTCTCTAGATTACATTTACAAAAATAAATTACTCCAATATAGAAGTTGATTTTGAAGGGTTTTGCTCACCTCTACTCCACTGTGCACTGTCTCTTTTTTATTCTTTTCTTCAGTTTTTCCTTCAAAGTAATTTATTTTTTCCCCAAATTGGTTTTTCCTTTGATCTTTCATTTATTAGGATCTTAAGTGATCATTGGTTTGTCGTGATTTTCAGTTATCCTTGATTAATCATAATCTTGCAATATAAGGTTTATTAAATAATTTTTATTTAAAAAGCAAATAAAAATTCTAAAACTAGTTCTGTTTAAAATATTGTTGGTATTGAACTTGTATTGTGAATACAAATCATGTGACTGAGTCATTTTTATGATTTATAATAAGATTTTTTATAATTTTTATTTTTTATTTGTGTTTATTAATAATAATCATTATAATTAATATAATAAATTAAAAGATTTTTATTTTGATGTTTTTTTTTTAAAAAAAAAATCAAATAAAGAATAGCATTTCAATTATATTTTTGACTTTCATAAATATTTTTGTGTTTTTTTTTTTTTTTACAGTTTAGTATTTCAATTTACCTTACATAAATGTTGTTGCTGTTACATAAAAGAAAACAAGATGTATCATGATATTTTACAAAATTGTGTTGATAATAGTGCTCAACATTCAATTGCTATTTTGGAGCAACCTGAACTTGACTTAAAAGAAAATTGTATACTTCAAAATGTTCTAGCTAAAACCAGTTTGCATAATATAACTTCTAAAGAATATGTAAAAGTTAAAAAAGTAATTCGTAAGAATATTTCAATTAAGCAGCGTAAACAATACTGGTTGTTGTTTTCAGGTGGATTAGAGGTTTTAAAAAACACTCCTAATTTGTATAAAAAAACTTGTGAGAACCTACTTGGACAGAGTAAGATTGAATTTACATTTTTCATTTATAAATTTTGTATTCAAATTAATTTATTTTATTAACATAAGTGTTATCCTTATATAAATATTATGGATAAAAGTATAAATAGTATAGATAATTTATGTGACATATTATATGTGACAAAAAAATTATAAAAATATATAATATATATTATAATATATAAAATATATAGGAGCTTATTAAATATATAGGACCTACTATTAATAAATAAAAAATATTATAATATATAAAACATATACTATTAATATTGTAATATAAAATATATACTATTAATAAATAATAAATATTATAATATATAAAATATTTACTATTAATATAAATTCTCATTAGCAAATGTAATATAGTGATATATAATATCATGTTGTTATTATATATAGTAACTTTATTTAGTACTAATATTTTATCATAGGTAATATTGTCACCATACTTACCATAATTCAGATATGACCTAACAGTCACCCTATTAGTGTAATCAATAAAGTGTAACGATAAAAGAAACTTTAGTCAAAAACCTAAAATAAACAAAAAAAGCTATTATGCTGTGTTTTGTTATTATTATTTATCATCAATTTAATGAGTCTTTTTTAAATGAGTTTTTTTTTTTGTTTGTTTTTTTAAGTTTTAAAAATTTACATTTTAAATTTTATTCATATGAATATATTTATATTTATTATTTTTCTTATTTTTATTTATCATTTACTTTTATTTAATTTAAATTTTTTAGTTTAGTTTACATTGTTCAAAAGTTATATTAAAAAAGTTACAACTTTTTTTTGAAGGTCATTTCCATTATAATCTTGAAAAGCTAGCAACTAATTCTCACTTTTTAACTTCTGCTGGATGTTACTCATTATGCAAAATACTTTATGTCATTACTAACTTGAATCCAAATATTGTCTATTGTCCAATGTTAGAACCAATTGCTACTGTAATGCTTCATTTTATGAATGAGGAAGACACTTTCGCCTGTTTAACTGGTATATTGAGCAAAAATGTACTTGATGAGACCAAATCTGAAAACACAGCCACTGACTGCACAATGCAAGATCTTCTAAAATTAATGGATGTAAGTTTAACTTTTTTAAATTGTTTTTTAGTTTGTTGCATTTGGTACTGTTAATAAGTTTGAAATAATTATTTAATCTAATTTTTTATGTGGCTGTTTTGTTGCTATGGTTATGTTTATCAAAACATGAGTAAATAATATTTTTGTTATAAATTTTTCTTTTTCATTGATTTATGTTTGTTGCTTAATAAAACCTTTGAATTTAATTAATGATGCAAATAATAAATAACCTTTAATTGCCATTAACACAAAAAATAAATAAAATTTGGTTAAAATTGATACAAAAAAATATCCTTTAATTACTATTAACAGAACAAATAAATATTCCTTAGTTACCATTTAATAGAAAGAATAAATAATATTTAGTTACCATTAGCAGAAAAAATAGAAAACCTTTAATTACTATTAACATAATGAATAAATAACATTTGGTTAAAATTGTTACAAAAAGTAAAGAATCTTTAGTTACTATTAACACAAAAAGTAAATAACCTTTAAAGCTATAAATAAATATTCCTTAGTTACTATTATTAGAGAAAATAAATAATTTTTAGTTTCATTAACACAACAAATAAATAACCTTTTGTTACTATTGACACAATGGATAAACATTACTTAGTTACTAATAATACAGAAAATAATCTTTAGTTACCATTAACATAAGCAATAAATAACCTTTAGTTACTATTAACACAATGAATAAATATTACTTAGTTGCTATAGAAAATAAATAGTTTTTAGTTACCATTAGTTAATAGAGAAAATAAATAATTTTTAGTTACCATTAACACAAAAAATTAATAACCATTAGTTACTATTAACACAATAAATAAATTTTTTTTAGTTATTATTAATAGATAGAATAGATAATCTTTAGTTACTATTAAAACAAAGAATAAATAACCTTTAGTAACCATTAACAAAAATAATAAATAATTGTTAGTTACCATTAACAAAACAAACAAATAATCCCTAGTTACCATTAACATAAAGAATAAATAAATTTTAGTTACCTTTAATACAATGAGTAAACATTCATACAAGTCATAAATAACTTCAGTTAACATCAACATAATGAATTTCTATAGTTATCTATACATGGTTTTGATCTCATTACCTTGCCCAAGGATATAGCAGAACTATTTGCAAAGAACTTTTCCTCTAATTTATCTTATAATTTCTGTCTGCTTCATACCAGAGAAACAAGTTAATCCTTTGTTATATATCAAAATCATTCTGGCTTTCTTTGCTAAAGTCAAGTTTATTCCAAATTAGCTTCTGCTAAGGTTGCCTCTCTTAATAATGCTTGCCATTTCCTTACTTCCAATTCAAACTTTACAAATCTCTTATTCATCCCTGTTTAGAATATTTTTAAATTCAGGCTGTTCCTTTTAATGATGCCCTTTCTCTTCTAGACAATGTCCAAAAGCATATTGTAAATGAAGTTTTTACTTGCACTAAAACCTGCCAAGCTTGAGTTTCTGTTTCATCATAGAAATGTGCGTCTTTATCTCTTTTTTACAATTCTATCATGGTTGCTGCTTGAGCAAGCTATCATCTCTAGTTCCATCAACCTAAAACTCATTCTTAGTTGAGTTGTCACTCAGCCAATCAGCATTTTTTTGCTGTATCTATTTCTTCATAAAAACTTATTTATCTAGTTTCTTTACTCACACATCAATATGTTGAAACACTATCTTCATGTTTTCCTGACTCATACAATTTTAAGTTTTTTAAGTCTTCTGTCAACTGTTTACTTGCTCTTTAAAAATATTCTTTGTTTTCTTGTAATTTCCAATTTAAATAGTGGTTGGTTGCAGCCTTGTTGGAAGTAAATTAGTTTTTTTTTTGTTCTTTTAAATTAAATACAATGAATAAAAAAACTTTAGTTACTATTAATACAATGATACAGGCTCATTAATAGTTTTTTTTATTACTAATATGCAGTGTGAACTTATTAACTAGCTAGACACTCCAACTATAAAACCTATGCTCGCCCTTATCTCTTGTGTTTTGTTAGATGTAATATTTTTCCTAATGCATTTCCAAAATTTCATGCCCAATATTTTAAGGTAATGTTTGCAGGAGGCCTCCTAGGCTTAGACTTTAAGGGTAAGCAGATTAATTCTGTTACCCAGCCTCGAACCCTTTTTTCATCTATTAGACTGGTGTAGATGTAATCCTGTGTTACATTGTTTCCTGCCTAGGATGATGAATGCTGGATCTTCTTGACTTGACTTCTCATAGGTTTTTGCTTGTACCTCCTTGATCTTCCTGTTATCTCCTAATGAGGGTGCAGCTCTAAAACTCAGGTTAATGGTTCTGAGGCCGGCTGGTAGTAAGGTCTCCCAAACTCTGTGTTAGCACTCAGAGAGGCTGATTCCATCAACAGCTACAAAATATCAGAGTATTAACAGTGCCATGTTGCGTATGGGTGGTATCCCTGTTAATGCTTTTGGTGTGCATTGTTGAGGCCACATTAGGAGCCCTATGTTAGGGCTTAAGGTTAATTAACAGGACTGAAAAAAATAACTGTTTTAATATATCTTTGATTAATATTTGTGGTCTGCGAAGCAATCTTTTATCAGTTGAATCTTACTTCTTGCAAAATTTACCAGACTTGCATGCTCTTAGTGAGACTAATTTAAACTTTGCTATTCCTTCTTCTGATCTCAGTGTTGATGGGTAATATCCTTTGATTCACAAAGACTGCAATAGTCATATGCTTGGCTTGGTGGTATACATACACATCAATTCATTGGAGTGAATCAAAATAAAAAAAAATAAAAATAAATGTAAGTGTAACTATAAAATAAAAATAAAGTACCCTGTAAAATTTAAAATATTAAATAATACAATAAAATTTAATATTTGTTTAATGTTAGTTTATTTTTTGTTGTTTTTTTTTATATATAGAAAAAGATTTTCAACAGACTTGAGTCTTTCCTTTCTCCTTGCATTAAGGGGACTAAACTGGTTATGTTTCCATCTTTAAAAAAAATGCTGTTTGATCGACTATCATTCGCTAATTTGGTAAGGTTTTTTTGTTACTATTCAGAGTCTCAGTGTAAAGGGTACTTTAATGTAAAGAAAAAACCTTGTAATAACTCTTTGTTTTATAGTTTTACTTGTCTTAAAGATAGACATGTTATTTTGGTGCACAACCTGTTTTGAATTAGATCAACATGTGGCGGACACATGTTTTCAGGTAAATGTTGAAAAAGAATTATGGTCTTTTTCATCCAAGGTCTAAAATGTATGTTTCTGTTCTATATATTTTTCTTGTACAAAAAGTAATTAAAAGGGGGCTTAGCTACAGAAAAAATTTTTAAATTTATATAAAAAAATTTTAAACATTTTAAAAATAGCTTTTAGATAATTTACATATTTAAGTTATATTTATATAAGTTTTTTGATATAATTCTTTATTTTCTACAATAATTTAGTTTTTTATTATTTTGTATTGTAATTGTCCTGATATCGCTTCTTCTTGTAAACAATTATTCTTCTTGTAAAAAACAATATTATTTTTTTGTAAACAAAACCAAAAAAAATTCTAACTCTTAAAAAAAAAGAATGACGTCACCCCTTGTTTAGATGAAAGTTCAAGAAATGTTTTAACTTTTTTAGGTCTAAGGTATGACAGTTATCAGCATTTTAAATGTTTTTTAAGGATTATATATGCTCATACAAAAAAAGCCTGACTGGACATTTTTGTCTAACAACAAATTGCCAAAAAAAAAAAAAAAAAAAACAATACAAGAATGTTAATTCAGATGTAATGTTTGTTTTACATCTGATTATTCAAATAATGATTATTTTTAATCATTATTTGAAAAAAATTACTAACTGAAAAATACTAAAAAAAAAAAAAATGAGGCATTTTGATTAAGTTGATCAAGTGTGTCATAAACATAAGTTCAACTTCTATATAGCCTTAATTAGTACGGGACATATATGTCTTGTTGGGCCTGATCAAATTGAAATCTTTTAAAATTATTATACATTGTGAGAATTATTTATTTAACCAAAAATTGAAAAATTACAAGTTTTTTATAATTTAACAAATTTAGGTTAGGTGTCACTCATATAGTTAAAAATTAGTCATAGAGTGACACCTAAATAAAATAAACAAACAAACAAAAAAATTAACAGCAATAATAATAAATAAAAGCATGTGTAAATTAGATTAATTTTTAAAAAATAATAAAGATAAAGCTATAATAAGTTAAATAATAAGACAAAAAATATGAAAACACACAATAACAACTGCAAACAAAAATAAAAATAGTAGCAAAACAGCACAAATAAAAACAAACTTTACACAAAGAAAATGCAAAACACAAAAACTACAAAATGAAAGCAACAACTACAAAACGAAAAGGCAAACACAAGAACTTCAACAAAATAAAATTAAATTAAAAAATAATAACAATCTTTTTTTATTTTTGGCGAAAAAAAGAAAGGTGAAGTATATTCGATAAAATAGAAAAACAGAGAACAAGTATAAAAATAATTAGCAACAAACACACAAATAATAACAAGTTTTACTCAAAATAAAAACTACAAAATGAAAGCAAAAACTACAAAATGAAAACGTCAACACAAAAACTTTTACAAAATAAAATAAATAAATAATCTTTTGTTATTTCTGTCGGAAAAAAAAAGGTGTAGAAAAATTGGTAGCAATTTATTTTAACGCTTTAACTAGTTCTTTCTATTATTATTTTGAACTTTTTTCTTTTAAATTGGTACTTTGCTTTTAATTGTTTTATTTTTCTTCAATCTTTTAATTCGTTTATACCTTTCAATAATTTTCTTATTTTACTTTATTTTTAATTAATCTTTTTTACTCTTCAAAAAAATTTCCTTTGCCTTCCCTTTTCTCTTTTTTTCTTTTTCACCGTTAAAAAAATGCTTCCGCATTTGCGATGTCATTGCATTGCATTGTTGTTTGTTAGTTTTTTTTGCAACAAACAATGTTTCAAGTCAAAATAATTTTCTTATTTCTCTTGAGCTTTCTTGAAGCGTTGTGGAGTCAAAAATTATGGTACATCTAATTCCTTTTTAAAATAACGCAGCACCTGTAGTGGGTTTTAATTTTTTTTTTTTTGATTATTTTATTTTTTATTTGTTATTTGATGAGTTTTAGCAACTGTTATTTGATAGAGTTTTAGCAACTTTAAACTGTTTTTAGTTTTACTGTCTTAAAATTTTAAACAAAACAAATTTTTATTGAGTTTTTAAGTTAAAGTTTTTCTTGAGAAATATTTCAAGTTCAATTATAGGTTAGAGTTGTTGATTGTTTTCTGATTGAAGGACCAAAGGTATTTTATCGTATGGGATTGTACTTGTTAACGCTATTTCATTCTTATTCGCTGACTTTTAACCAGCTTAGTAAGTGTTTTTTTCTAAGTTTATATGGTTTGCTTTTTTTTTTTGTAAATGTGAATTAACCCATAATGTTAATGAATTAAAGTGGACATGAGATTAATTTATTTTTAGTGTGTTTTTCTCCACAAGATCTTGTTACTACTATTGTTCAATTTGTGCAATCACTCAAAATTGATCCAGAAGTTTTTGTGAAGGTAGTCTTATTAATAAGAACAGATTTTTTTATGTGGTGTATGCACTTGACTTTTTCTATTTCCCTTTATTCTTTATCTTTTAAGCCAACTTTTTGACTTTTAGCCAACTTTTAGATGTGTTGCTGCTTTTTGTTATGAACCTTGTATATAATCCATTGCATGGGAAATATGTTTTTTAGATATATGGTGCCTGAAAAGATGCTATTGTGGTGTAGTAGTAGAATGCTTGCCTCATAAGCGAGAAGTTCCGAGTTTGATCCCCACTGCATCTCTGGTAGTACCACATTTAACTTGTTTCTCCGCACAGCAGCCTTGTTCATTGAGGTTTGTGATTCGGAGTTATAGAGTTGAGAGAGGGTTAAAATCACAAAAGAAGCCTCCTCTACTGTAGTGGTCTTCTCAGCCTTGGGGAAGTGAATAATTAAAAAAAAAAAAAGGAACAATTTTTAAAAGATAAAAAAATTACAAAATTTTCAACAGTTAGACAAAATTTAAAAAATATGTTATCGAAATATTTAATTACCTACAGAACAGCCATAGCACAGGGCTTTTAAGCACACGGACCACCAGAAACATAATTTCTCCATTGTATTTTCCAGTATTAGAGGCTGTTGTATCTGCATTACAACCAATGATCTGGTCAGTGAGCTCATAATACTCTAAAATTTTCTGAATAGCTATAGCTTAACCCTGTCCTTTAGATGACTCAATTTCTAGAACGCCTAGCAAAATACATCTAAGAGTTCATTGATCTGGGGAGATGACAAACTGAGACGTTGCTTTCAGACATTTTTTGTTTTGTTTTATAGTGTTTGACCAGTTTTGTATCAAATGAATGACAACCTTTTTACTTGCACTTGAAGATAGTATAAGATCTCAAAATCTTTTATCCTTTCTATGTCCTCTATAACTCTCTTTGATATTTCTTGTTTTCTTTTACATGTTTTTTTTCTCTACGCATACGTTCTTTAATATCTAACATTTCTTTTTTCCCATCTATGATTCTTTTATAATTCAATTTGTCTTTCCAAGCGTCAAACTTTTCATTTCACTTTTTCATTTCAAGCGTCAAACCATTTCACCTTTGAATGCTCTCTTCAGGAACTCAATATCTTTAGGAAATTCTGTCGTTCCTTGTCTCTATGTCATTCTATTTGTCTCAATATCTTCTGTCATTCTATTTGTCTCTTTTGCTTGTCTCTGTTTTTGTCATCTGTAATAAGTTTTAAGATATCAAAACAAATGCAACCAAATAATGCCAATTTAGTTTTTTTATATAAAAGTGCTGCATTTTTTCAATTTAGAGAAATAACTATGTAACTATTTAGAGACAATGTTCTTCAAGTTTTATTCATCACAAAGTTCATTATTTGTACACGAAAATTAATAAATTAATCAAAAGTATTAAAAAAATTGGATTTCCTTTTGACAAAATAAGTGCAACTCCACAAATGTTGACCAAGCTGTATTTCGCTATCAATATTTCGTGACAAATCCTATATTGTTGATCACAGCCTTGCATCTTCGAGGCATAGATTCGATCAGGTGATCAATGAAACTTTGTGAAATTGCTGCCCAGGCCTTTTGGATTTGTTCAAAAAGTTGATCCTTATTACGAACACATTCACAATTAATTCTGCTTTGACAATCTCCCACAGATTCTTGATAGGGTTGAGATCTGGAGATTGAGGCGGCCAATCCATCACCGATAGGTGGTTATCTTGAAACCACTGCTTGTAGTGTGTTTCGGATCGTTGTCTTGCTGAAAAAATTTTATTGGCATATTCCATTCAGCATGAGGTAACATAACATCTTTAAGGATATTTTTATACATAAAACGGTCCATTATTCCATCGATTCAATGTATTGGACCTAGACCGTTAGCAGAAAAACACCTCTAGACGTCATCGCTCCCAATAATGTTGAACTTCAATTCATCACTGAACAGAAAAGTTCGCTATTTCTGCACATTCCAGTCAATATGAGATGTAGCAAACAGGAGTCTTTTCTTCTGGTTCTTTAGTGAAATCAGCGGTTTCTTTGCAGGGCATCGAGAAAACAATCCGGCTTCAATAGCACGTTGTCTGATTGTTCGGTCCAATACAGGCAGCTCTAATTGCTTTTGTATCTTGACTGATGATATCCAGGGATCCTTCTTGATGAATCTGACGATCATAGAATCCTCTCTAGAAGTGGTGGAACGCTGTCTTCTGCCTTTGTTATCTACTGCCAACTTCCCCGTAGAACAATATTTTGAACATAGTCTTGATACGGTCCATTTTTTCACGCGATATTTATACTTACTTATACTTTTTTGTGACATTCCACTTATGTATTCACCAATATTTTTTTTTCTTAGTTCCAATCCAAGACTGTCGGGAGCCATTTTTACACTTGAAGTCATAAAGATAATAAAATAAATAATCACACTTCTCAAGGCTTACCGTGTTACATTTACCTTGTGATGATACAATAATTCTCTGTGAAACACAACGTCTTGGTTGGATGGGACTGTATTGATGTAATGAAACGCTTGTTGTATTTCACTTCTTGTATTGGTGTTCTTTGATAAAACACTTTGATAAAACTCACTTCGATAAACTTCGATAAATAAAATCTTGATAATACTGACTGGTTGACTTCCATATACTGACTGAATTACATGTCGGTTTACATGTCTCTTATATAGTAAAATGAACCTGTGTGAACCTGTTCTGGAAGATTCTAGATATTTCTTTTTGATGTTTCTGGAAGCTTCTGGGTGCGTCTGAATGCTTCTGAATTTTTCTGGATACTTCTGGATGCTTCCAGATGCTTCTTCTGGAAACTTCTGGAAGCTTCTGCATGGTTCTGGATACTTTCTTTAATTATTAAAAAACTTCCATGACATTGACACGAACCAGACTTAAGAAAATGAAATAAACCAAAAAACTGCTCTTGTTTTGTCCGCTGCAAAATTGCTTTTGTCAACAAAATTCTGCTTGTGTACTGTTACCTGTCAGCTGATTGCTAATGTCATGGCATGCTATGACTCCAGACTCCTGAACTGTTTGCTGTGGTAGTATAGTTCATTTCGTTTTTAAAGCATGTAAAATTAGGAACACTTTTTAGCATTGTTCGATGTTGGTTGCAAATGTTTTGTCCAATACTGTATGTTCTTCAACTATGTTCTTCAACTAGACGTCAAGAACATAAAATCAGAATGCAGTTTCTCATCCCTCCTGAAATAAAAAGCTTTAGTGCATCAGTTAGAAAAATTTTTCTTCTCAACCAATGTGTTAATTTTGGAATAAAACAGATATTGGAAATGAGAAAAGTTTGATTTAAACCAAAACAAAAAGTAAAAAATGTATTTGGCTGCTATAGCTGAACATTGAAATAAATCTCAGCTCATGAATAAGATCAAGTACCTTCATAAACTTCCATTTTAGTTGTGTTTTGTATTTTGACTTCTGCTTCAAAAATATTCCAGTTTTTCTGTATTTTTTTGATTAATAAGTTATCTAAACAATGCACAGTTTGGATTGTTTTGATAGCTTATTAAATATATTATACAATGCACAGTTTGCAAGTTATCAAAATAATGCACTTTTGTTACATTTTTTTAAGTGAAGATTAAACTAGTTAAGAGTGCTATTGTAAAAAAACTGTATGATTTTCAAAGTAAACTTGGTAAAAACAGGTAATTTTCACCTAAAGAATTCATTATACCAATATAAAGGCTAACAAATAAAAGTAACATACTAACATAGACTATTTATAGATCTTTCATATGCTTTATATTAATTGTTATTTAAAAATCTCCCTTATGTTTCTAAAAGTTGTGCCAAATTATGTATACATTTTTAACTACTCAAATTAAAAAAGGGTTCAAACTTTATGCAATCATAATATTTGAGTGTTAAGAGTGAAATTTAAATTTTATTGGTGATTTTATAAAATATACTAATAAAATTATATTTTGTATATTGTTTGTATATTTTATGCGATATTGTTTAAAGTTTTCTTTTTTTGAAATCAATTTCCTCTATCTTTATTAAGATGTCCACTGTATTTTTTTGACCTTTATTTAGCATATCTAGTTGACCTAGGATTTTAAATTTGGTATCAAAATTCATCATTTAGTAAGACCTATATAATGAGATTGGTTTAGTTAAAAAAAATAAAAATTTAAATTTTTTATGATGGTACCTAGATAAGATCTACCACTAACTAATATGTTTACTAACCTGGTGTTTCACAAATTAAACAGTAAAGAGTTTTGAGTTTTACCTTAAACAAAGTAACTTAAAAATGTTATTCTCTTTTTTAGGATATTCTTAAAGTGAAAATAACCTCCAATCAAATTGCTCATTTAAAAAGTTTAAACTTGAAAATGTGTAAAGCACATGCACTTGAATTTCCAGGAGTAATATTTACGCATCAAATAGTAGCATTGGACATTAGAGAAGTTTCTGACATAGTTGAACCCTTTCAGGTTTGTGTTTCATCTTAAGTTTTTTTTAAATAATTTTTATTAATTTTATTTGTGAATAAAATTTTTTATATAAGATAAAAAAAATTTATAGAGTAAAACAGGGTAAAATGAAATAGGGGGTAGAATGAAATAGTTATGACAATGTTTATTCTTTCGCTCTTAATTAACTATTGAGTAATTTTTTTTTGCAAATATTTTTTGATTATATTGTAGAGAATATTTTTCTGAGTAAGATGGTTTAAAATTTTTTTTTTAATAAAAAAAATTTTGTTATAAATTTATAAGATTTTGAATGAGTAATAAGAATATATTTTTTGTTTGAAAAGGGAATTTAAAACTCTCGGAAATTAAATTTGGTATCATTGAACTTAAAATGTTTACTGGTACAACTTTTTACGCTGATCAAGAATCTTTTTTTAAAATTAAATTTGCTATTTAGGAAAAAAAGTTATGAGTTAAAAACGGAAACAGAGTGTTTTGGGATTGAATGAAATACGCTAATAAATAAATAAATACGAAGCAATAGCTTATTTCTTAAAAGCGACTTTTTTAAATTAGGTCTCAAGTGACCAATAAATCTTCAACTATAAATTTTTTGTATAAGTTTCAATGAATGAATTTTTCTAACTAAATTTAAATGACTTTTACTTATTGTTTTTATAAAATGGTTCTAATAAATGAATGAAATACGCTAGTTACTCTCTTGTTAATTGCAGTCACCTTGTCTGCAAACAACCTTCAATATTCTAGTAACTCTGGCTATTCAAAAGGAAATTCAACAAGATGTTGCAAAACAACTGCAATCACCCCAATCACTTACAGCAGCTTTGCAACAAATGTTTTGTATCTAACACGTTGACACAAAAAAAAGAAAAAATGTAGATGTGCTAAGATTCGAAATGGAGTGTCTCAACAAACCTGAAATACTTGAAAGATTGAAAGATGCTGAGAGCAAAAAGCAGCAAAGCTAAAAAACAATGTAAGTTTAGCTCTAATTGAAAACAGCAAATAAACCAAACAACAAGTCCAACGAAAATATTAGTTGCAAACCAATTTAAGTGTAAAAAGTGCCGTAAAGTTTTGGGCGAAACTTCAGCAAGTCAAAATATGGAATGGTACCAGTGTGAAAATTCAAATTGCAAGGTTTGTCTATGTCAAACATGCATACCAAAGCAATACGTAAAAGGCGCTGTGTTTTATTGTACCAAAAAGTGCCGCACAAGTGAAAACTCAACTCAACCTCTGGTACCTCTAAACGACTCTACATCATCTCAAGAATAAAAAAATTTATTTTATTTGATTGATTCTTTTAATTGTTTTTATTGATTGTTTTTTCAATTGTTATTATTGATTGCTTTTTGTTTTTTTTAATAAAGTGTTGTTTTAATTATACTTATATTTGCGTATTTCATTCTCCCCGAATGTCAGTGTGGAATGGAATAAATTTTTTTTTTAATCAAATAAAGTTTCATAAAAAAATTTACAAAAAAAGTTGTAAGATTTTTATATATTTAAATACAGCTCAATACTCTCTTCAACTTTAAAAAAAAAAGGAAAAATCTTTCTTCTATAAAAAATTATTAATTAAAATTCTTAACTATTCCATTTGACCCCAGACATTTTACTCTGCAAATTATAGTTTGAATAAATGAGTTTTTTTAAGTTTAATTATTATAACTATCATGTTTATATCTTTTAAAAATACTTTAAAATTTTTTTTATTAACAAGATCTTTAGATCTTTATATTTTTTGTTGGAAAAGATTTTGCACTTGTATAGATTTTATAATTCCTTTTGTAATCCATTGCTTGAATCGATGTTTGAAGTTTTTTATAAACATTTAGTATCATTGTTAGTGTTAGTATCATTGGACTTTGTAATATCGTCCCAGTCAATTTTTGACAAATCAGATTTAAAGTTTTCTTTATTAAATTTCTCCTCCTATGTACAGGGTGACAACCATAAGGTGAAACACATAAAGTAAGCTATATTTTCAAATTTAAGAGTTATATTTATTCGAAAGTGGTATCAATAGAAAGCTACAAGTGTATTTAACAAGTTTTATTGGTTTAATTCGAACCTGTCGCCCTCTGCTTTTATGCAGGCTTGACATCTCTTGAAAAAGTTTTCACACGCGGCACGCACGGTTTCTTGTGGCATTTTGTCCCAAATGTCGATCAAAAGTTCCTTGAATTGGTCCAAAGTTGTTAATTTATGCTTTCCCAGTTCTTGTAGCATGTATCCCCAGACAAAGAAATCAAGGGGATTGAGGTCAGGACTCGAAGCAGGCCATTCTTTGGTATCGATAAAATCTGGGAAATTTCGCTTGCAGTAATCTTGAACAACAATAGCCTTGTGTGCAGGGGCAGAATCTTGCTGGAACACCCATGGATCATCACCATAAATTTCTTTAGCCTTAGGTTCAATCAAATCTTTGATCACATTCTGTAAGTAGTATTCTTTGTTGATTTTCACCCCTCTATCGATAAATTTCAGAAGAAATTTCCCCTTTTTCGAGATGGCCCCAAATACCATGACCGCCGAAGCGTTCTGATAACGAGGGACAGTTCTAACGTTTAAAGGAACATCAGAGAGCTTTACAGCATAAACTCTGTCATTTTGTCTGTTCAACGGGCGCTCCAAAGTAAATATTTTCTCGTCCGAAAAAACAATATCTGCACCACCGTGCCGCTTCAATAGCGATTTGCAAGGCTTGACTCTTTCCACCTTGTTTTTGTCAGTGAGGCCGGCAATTTTTTGTTTACGGTAGCACTTAAGTTATAAATCTTGTTTTATAACCTTTTGCATAGAGGTATATGACATGTTCAGCTGCCGACCTGAGCGAGCAGGATTTCTTCGTAAACGTTCTCTTATTACTTTGATGATTGCTGGAGTGCGCTTGACGCGCTTTCTTTTTCTAGTTTTAGTTGGAATTGTTTGCCCAGTAGTTTTGTAACAAGAAATTGTTCAACTAATCAATGATTTGCTGACTTTTATATCATTTAGGCGTCTCCAAATATCAGCTTGACTTAAATTTTTTTTGTGTAATGAAATTATCAGCTCCCTGATAGGATTTAGATCTGTATTTTTCATACAATCCCTCATTTTTTCTTCGTCAAATTTTTAAAACTTTTTCTAAACAAATGTCAAAACAAACTGTAAACAAGAGGAAAGTCATATGGTAAGGGGTTAATAAATGATTGGAGTTCGAAAATGTGTTTCACCTTATGGTTGTCACCCTGTAAATTGTGTCTGGGTGGTATAAATAATTTATTGAAATTCTGACAAATACAAAATTGAGGTAAGTGATCAGAAACAGAAGTTGTTAAATTTCCTGAAACAATTTCATTAGCTATTAAACTAGAGAAAATATTATCAATAATTGTAGCAGAGTGATCAGTAATTCTAGTCGGCAAAGTAATAAAAGGGTGAATATTATAAAAAGAAAATAAGTTTAAAAAATCAGACGTCACAATGTCATTATTTGATTGCATCAGATCAATATTATAATCATCAAGTAAGAAAACAGATTTAATTTCAGCAGATATTTTTTGAAGTAAGACAGACATGATATTACTAAAAATATTTATATCCATGCAAGGGTGTCTCTAAATGCAACCAACAATAATATTAGTCTTTTTAGAAAATATAACTTTAACAAATGTGGATTCTAAACAATTAGGTGTATAAATACCTAATCGTTTTTTATAATACGTTTTTTATAATTGTTTTTTTATACCCCACTTTTTACAAATTTCTAATTTTTCTACCATGGGGTACCTTAATACAAACTATAACCGTCATTAATAAGAGTAAATAAAAAATAAAAATAAACACATTTCTTCTTGAAAGACAAAAAAATTAATAATTGTAACCCAAATAATGCATCCAACATTTCAGAAATCATGATAATATATTGTTTTAAATGTCATTTTTAAGTGTAAATAAATAATGGCTTTGTATCGAATTGGTGGAAATCTCCTAGTATTATATTTACACAAATCTCTTTAAAATTGACTGTATATTAGGGGTGTCTCGGATAAACTATCTGGCGGGATAGAAGTATTATTCTGTATCTTATATTTGACCGGATAATAACTTTATCTGGTTTTTTATATACCGGATATTTCATGCTAATAGTAAATAAAATATTTTTCCTCTTCATACAATTGACAATGAAATTGCTTTTGCGTGATTATGTAATGGAGTTGTGCAAAATGACTTCTGACCAGATTAATTACATCCTCTGCTTATCTGCTTTCCACATGGAATGCATATTACTATGAAGTCACAGCTATCATTAATTTTAAAAAGTTTCCTAACAAAACTCACCATTTTGAAGGTTTTTCACAGTTAAATTTTGTCATTATAAAATACATGTTTTAAATATATAAAAATTTATTTGAGTTACATTATCTGGTCGGATATTTTTTAAATATCTGGGTATTCAATTTCTAGTCGAATAATAAAAAAATGTTATCCAGAACATCCCTACTGTATATACTTAAAGTAAAGAAATGATTTTTAAAACTGTTTATAACACAATGAAGTACTATTTTACAGTTTTAGGGCACGCCACAAATGCTGTATCAAGTTACCCCATACTTGCTAATAGAAGAAAATTACTTTATTTTCAACAAATTTAAAAATGAATAAAGTAACAAAAAGTATAAAACAAAAAAAACCATTGCCATCACCAAGTTCTCAAAACCATTCGTGGTCTTTGAAGTAACTTTTCTTTAGTTGCGTCTTATCTCTTGCAAAGTTCACCAGATCTACTTGTTCTTTGTGAGATTAATTTGAATTTAGCTGTCACATCTTGTGATCTTAGTAATGATGGTTATCTTCCTTTAATTCATAAAGACTCCAATAGTCACATGCTTGGCCTGGGCATTTACATTCGTAAGAATTCACCCATTTCTAGGTTCAAATCCACAGATTTCTCTTTTATGTGCTTTCGTTTAGCACCACTTTACTCTATCGCTTTTCTCTTTGTTCTATATTGCTTTCCTTCATCTCAAGACTGTACTCTTCTTGATGTTATTTCTGATCATATTGACCAAGCCCTCTCTCTTTATCCTTCAGCTAATATTGTTATTGTCAGTGACTTTAATGCTCATCACATTGAATTGCTTGGCTCTAGTGTCATTAACTCTGCAGGCAATAAAGCCCACAACTTTTGCTTTTTTCAATCCCTAACTCAAATTTCCAGCTTGCTTTCCAGACAATCCGAATCATTTACCTTCTCTACTCGATTTATGTCTTGTTTCTGACCCTAGTCAGTGCTCAGTTTCTTCACATTCATCTTTAGGTGCTTTTGATCGCTGTTTGATCTCTCTAAAACTAATATCTCATTCTTTTTCATCATCAGAATCCCCCTATCTTACAACTTCCTTAAAGGTGACTGGGACTTGTTTCGTGATTGCCCTTGGGTAGAAATCTTTTGTCTTCTTTCATAACTTCGTGGATCAAATAAATGATCAACGAAGTTATGTAAGAAGCACATGGATAAATCAAATGTGCTTCTGACATAACTTTGTGGATTCAGCCTAAAACGGAATCCTTTATTCCCTCTCGACAATTCCAGGTCAAGCCGCACTCTTTTCCATGGTTTTCCTCACATTGTACTGCTGCAATTGCCAATCGAAACTGTTACTTCCATATCTACCAGCAAAACAATTCTCCAGAAAATAGACGTCTGTTTATTACTGCTAGAAACCATTGTAAAAAGGCTTTGTCTAACACCAAAGCCTGCTATTCTCAGGTCATGAAATCTTGTATTTCATCATAAAAATTAGGCTCTCGTGACTTCTGGAGAATCTTTAATATATAGTATCAATAATAAAGGCAAATCTGTAATTCCACCTCTCTTGTATGGTTTAGACTTTGTCACCTCACCTAAAGACAAAGCTGAATTGTTTGCTAAGAACTTTTCATCGATATCATCTCTTGATTCCACTAGGTGCGTTCTACCTGATATAGCTGTCAAACAGATTGATCCATTGCTTGACATTCATATCACTCCAGCTTATGTATCTAAAGTGATTTCCTGCTAAAACTCTTCGACAGCTTGTGGCCCGGGCAATATACCTGTTATAGTCTTGCAAAAGTGTTCTTCGGAGCTGTCATCTATTCTTTAAAAACTATTCAATAAGTGCTTATCAGAGTCTTCTTTTCCAACCTGCTGGAAAACAGCATCTGTTATCTTTATTTTTAAAAATTTCTGGAGAGTGATCTGATTTGTCTAACTATCGTCCCATTATTCTTCTTCCTATCATAAGCAAAGTTTTTGAATCTTAATATAAAAAATAACTTACTATCTGATCATCAATATGGATTTCGATCTTCTCGTTGTACAGCTTATTTTATTATTATTCTAGAACTTTCTTTCTAGAACGATCTTTCTTAGAAACCATATATCAAATCTGTTTCAAAATTAGCATCTGCTAAAGTTGCATCTCTTTATCGAGCTTGACACTTTCTTACTCCGGATTCTATTCTTTATCTCTATAAATCTCAAATCCGGTCTTGTATAGAGTACTGTTGTCATATCTGGGGCAGATCTTCTAATGATGCCCTTTCTCTTTTAGAAAGGTACAAAATTGCATTGTAAACATAGTTGGACCTGCTCTTGCAGCCAACCTTCAACCATTATCACATCGTTGTAATATTGCTTCTCTTTCTCTTTTCTATAAATACTATAATGGGTACTGCTCTAAAAAGCTAGCATCTTTTGTGCCATCTACTAAAATTCATTCTTGTGTTACTCATCATTCAATTAAGTCTCATCTTTTTTCTGAGACTGTTCTTAAATGCTCCAAAAACTCTTATTCCTCTAGTTTTTTTCTTCAAACATCAGTTCTTTGGAATTCCCTTCCTTCATCTTGCTTTACTGATTCATATAATTTGCAATCTTTTAAGTTATCTGTCAATCGTTATCTTGCTCTGCAATCTTCATCTTTTCTCTTCCAGTAACTTCCAATTCTAATTAGTGGTTGCTTGCGGACTTGTTGGAAGAAAAGATGTTTAAAAAATTAACTTGTTTTACAATCATTTTGTTTAATGAAGTAAAGAGCCTATGGATTGTAGTTTACAAAATAATGTTATTTACCGATAGACACATTGAATAAAGTTAAAAACTTATAACTTATTTTATAACCTTAAAACTTATTAACTTTAAAAACTAATAATTTACTTTGTCATTGAAAAAATACTAATTTTGACCCCTCCCAGGCCTAATGATGATAAATGATATAACTTTTTAGTCAAAATATAACTCTAGTAACTTTTTTCACCATATAAAAGTGGTTATCACAACTTTTAAAATGCCTCTGTAATTACAATGTTCATGGTGCCCCATGTATTATGTTGCCCCACTCTCCTCTACTGTTGAAAAGGCCATGCTTTTAAGCTACATAAAATAAAAAAACGAATGGAAATAAATAAACACAAATAGATTTTTTTTAAATCTAAGACACATAGCTAGATTGTTAAGTAAACTTTTTTTTTTATTTGTTTTATTTTATTTTTTTAAATAAAATTGTTACAAAATACAAACAAATTTTTTTTTAATAAGTATTTTAAATAAGTATTTAACAAAATAGAAGTTTAAAGTTTAAATAGAAATTTAATAAATAAAGAGTTTTAAATTTTTACCTTTAACAAAATAGCATAAAGAGTAAATGTTAAAATCAAACAAATCAATAAATGCATTTTAAATTCAATATTGTGCAAAATATAAAGTAACTATTTTAATTATTTTTAGTGGCAAAAGCTATGTGAATGGCTTCCAGACAGAATTCAAATCAAAAAACCGCATCTTATTTTTTCAACTAGCAATGATGGATACAAGTAGGTTTTTTAACACATATTTTTAATGTTTCAACTGCAGCTAAAAGATTTATTGTTATTTAACTCAAAGTCTAGAGTTCAATTAAGTTTTATGTTCATATCATTCATCACCTATCATTTTTAGTTACAAAGGTTGATTTTTTTTTTTTAAGTTGTATAGTAATTCTTGACTTTAACTAATGTTAAAGAAATAGTTATGATTACGAAAGATAAAAATATTTTCTATTGACAAAAGTAACTATAGTAACTAGCTCTCATTACTAATCTAATCTGGTATTATTATCTTTATCATTACTAATCTAATCTGACATTATTATCTTTTTCATGATTTTCTTGCATCAAATATGTCCTGGGTTGTTATTTTTCATGTTGTCAGACTTTCTATATCATAACCATAATGGTGATGTAAGTATAAACCTTGTAGCATGAGGTATATAAAAGCAATCTAGACATGTCCGACTGTGTTTTTATTGCTGATTTGCTGATATCAGCAAAAATACATATAAATATATAGAAATTGGTTGTTTTAAAGTTCTTTATCTTGTTTAGTAACGTATTTTAATGTTATTTTTTGGGAAATTTATTTATGATCAAGAAAATGGTCATGATCATGAAGATGTTCATGAGAAGATTTTTTTCAACAAAGAAGATATTTTATTGAAGCTGATCAATTTGTTCTATTTGTGGTTTGCACACATTGGCATAATAGAGAAGAAACATTACTGCGAAAGTAAAAGAGTTACATTGAGTTAAGAGGCTTCTCATACTATTTGATGACATATTTGACAAGATTATCAAATGCAAGAAGACAGAGAATAACAAATTTGAGTACCAATAGTATCACAGATATCTCTTTTTGTTTGGTTAACACCCAAGGTTTTACCTAAGGTTTGAACTGAATGTTCAAATTTGACATAAGCTTTTTAAATAGTCGACACAGATGGGCAGTCCAGATAATGAAGTCATTTGTGGTTCAAAAAATGGTTTGTCATTTGAGGACAAAAAGTTAGAAAAAAAAAATACAAAGAAGAATTGGTAGCACAGAAAATCTCTTAGAATAAGTTAAATGATTTAATTTTATCAAAAGAAATCATCAGAGTTACTAGCTTCGAAACTTCCTGATAAGAATTTACTTCTGTCAGATGTTAAGGTATCAATCATTGTAAAAAGAAAAGTAAAATGTTTGGATAATTTAGTGAAGTGCATATTTTAGTATACTGTAACAATATTGAGTCTTTGTTAAATGCACTGGGTGTAGAAAATTACTGTCCTTGTGATTGCTGGTTACAAATATGATTTTTCATTAACAGTTCAAAATGAAGTTTGAAGTGTGTTTTGATTTGAAACAAACCATAAACAAAGCATTGATTGATGATAATAAAGTTGTAAAGGGTGTCTCAAAATTAACACTAGGTTTGAATTAAATAGAAAACACAGTTTTTAGTCTTTTGGTTGTAATTTTTTTATTGAATTATAAATTACTTAGGATAGGGTTATTTATGGAATAACACATTGGGCAAATGGCTTCCATGGCTTTCCATATGCACTTGTTTTTCAAAATTTTTCAAGTCTATTCTGAATAAATTTGGCTGAATTTCGTTGATGCAACATTAAATCACATCCTCTAAAGCACGCATGGTTGTTGGCTTGTTAAAATAGACCTGTTATAATAAAATAAAATAAAATAACTCCTTAAAAAGAAATCTAATGGTGTTAAATCACACGATCTAGGGGGCCAATTCTGATCACCGAAATGAGAGAGTACCAACCTGGAAATGTCTCATGCAGTAATTGGAGTGTTTCACATGCTGTATGGCTTTTGGAACTGTCTTGTTGAAACCACATAATGGCCACGTCAATATCATCGATTTCAACAAAAGAACTGGGTTATCATAATGGAATATCGAGCACCAGTAACAGTCACTGCTTGACCAGCCTCATTCAAAAAATATGGTCTAATTATGCCTCCAGCCCAAAATCCACACCAAACAGTGACACATTGTGGATGCATTTGTTTTTTGACAATCACATGTGGGTTCTCAGAACCTCAAAAGCGGCAATTTTGGCGATTAACAAACTCATCAAGGTGAAAATGAGCCTCGTTGATTAGGATGATTTTATTATTGAGCATCAACAAATGGATGACCAGCATCCATTTGTTGATGCTCAATAATTTATTCAACTAACTCTCTTTGCTGTGCATAGTCATTAGGCTTCAGTTGTGTTAATTAAATTTTGTAAGCATAGTCAAAGCATAGTCATTAGGCTTACAAAATTATTACAAAAAGGAGACAGATCTTTAGTGAGTATACACTGTAGAATGCTTTTTGAAATTTGCACTTCTTGTTCACGATGCCAAATCCAAGTTTCTGGATTGTCACTGTCACTCTCACACACTGCTTCGATATTGACATTTGATTGATATTGACATTTGAGCGCCTCCAATGGTTCCTTTCTCCCAGAAATTTTACATTAATCTCTTCACAGTTGACTAAGTTATAACACTATTCCAACCGAATTTGTACAAAATTTTTGAACTGCGGCTGTCAAGCTTTAATTATTTTTGAAATATTGTTCAATAATGTTATTCTATTGTGTAACGCTCCATTTTTATTAACCCTAAAATGTCAGCTGTCGATTTGGTTTTTTCAAAGGATGTCAACATTTTACTTCATAAATGGTGGAAAATTTTAATCTTTTGTTAATTTTGGAACACTCTTTATTTGTACTACTCTATATAAAATTAGGTTTAATGTAACAATTTATGAAAGCTTTGATAATGAAGGGAGTTGTTTCAACTGCTCTATGAATAAAACAGAAGCAAAAGCATTTAATTTGTAGAAGTGTTTACTTGAAATATCAAAGATGCTCAGTGTAGTTAAGGTGAATTAGTGAAACTTAAATTGATAATTTTTATAACTTGGGTTTTAAATTAAATAAAATAAATTAAAAAAATATTTTTTAATACAACTACTCCTGCTTGTGTTTTTTTTTAAAAAACAAAAGTTTTTTTTGTTTTGTTTTGTTTAAACAGAATTTGAGATTTTTATAAAGTCTCTTTTTGAACTTCTTTGGGATTTGCTCAATCTTGCTCAATCAGTTTTCTTTAAAATATTTTGAACGAAATTAAAAAACTTAATTTGGGCATGGTTATAGATCTTTTACAAAGTGTTAATCCATAAATTTCTTAAAAACATTTTTTTCACTTAAAGTTATATTCTCCATTTAATAAGTAAAAGTGGTAAATGGTAGTTGTTACTCTTTTTATTCTATTTTCTAGGAAATTTTTTGTTTAAATATCTTTGCAATAGTGAAAATAATTCCAGCAACAAGCAAAGTTTTTCCCTAATAATAGCATTCAAGAATTAGAGGTCTAAAATTAAAGCTTAAGTTAGGATTCCATAATACACCAATAATATATATTATATAAAATTGCACAGCCCTCAGAATTAGACTTTTAGAGGTTGGCATCAGGTTGACAAAAATATTTTAACACAAAAGTTTTACTATAAAACATAGGAATGAGGTCAGCAATTTTTTGTCAACCTCAAACACTTTTAGGTCAGCAGTTATGTCAGCATTGCCAAGTGCCAACCTTATTCAGAGGGCTGAGTTGCAACATATAAAATCGTGGTATAACATTATAACTAAAATTTTAGAAGATTGCTTGTAGTCCACAGTAAGATCTTTGGTGCTTTCCCTTTAAACAATCTATTTATTTATCTTGCAGACCAGATATTTTATGGAATTTATCTTGCATAGTTGAGGTGCAAAAAGCACCTTAACTATGCTGACTGGTTCTTAAATAAATACTTCAAAATTTGTTTCAAAATTTTCACTCTTGGTTGCAATATGTATTAAAATGTATTTCTTATTCAGTCATTTGGAGAACTTTTTGAAAACGTTACAATTTTAGTGATAAACAAGCGAAAGATTTCACCAGAACATTTAAACAATGAAGGAACATTATCAGGGTTACTTGGATTAAAACATGATGACAAATCCTTGTTGGTGTTTGATAAGAAGTTGCATCAATGTTCTTTAAGGTAGAAATCAAACAGAAGAAAATTTTTATCATAAAACTTTAATTCTATATTTTTCTACTGCTTTTTTATTGTTAACATGTTGTTATTAACAATGTGGCTTAGTTATAAATTTATTTATGATTTTGAGTTAAATTTAAATTTTTTAAATAAAATAAAGAAATTTTTATTAAATTTGCACTTTAATCATTTTTGTCAACATTTTATTTATTTGTTTGTTTATTTTTAATCTTTTTTATTGTTTTGACATCAATCAACTTTGCATTTTAGATTCAAAAAATAAGTTAAAATAAAATTAAAAAAAAAAAAAGTCAAAAAGAGATATGAATTAGTTCTTGCTAAAAGGGAGTAGTCAACAATACATAGTTTTGAGAAAACTAAATAAAACTTTCTATTAACTTTATTTTTATTTGATAAGATGTAATTTTTTGTGTATAAATTCTTATAACCCCAGTTATCATGAAACAAAGTTGATTTATGACATTTATAAAGCTTTCATATGAAAAAAAATCATTAAAGTTGCTTGACTTATGCCCTTTTAGAATAGTTTGAAAAAAAGACAGATAAATGTGTTTAAAAAATAATGTTATTTACCAAAAGCACCAAGAAATCAGTATTTACCTACACTCCTATTTATTAAGGACTAATTTTAGAAATATATACTGTCTTCAAAGAAATCTCTATAGCCTGAGATAAGCAATAGGAGTAACTTAGTCAACATTTTCAACTCAACAACTTTGTTTGTTGGCCATATAAAAATTTCAGCATAAAAGTCTTAAAAATCCATTAGAATGTAGGGTTGTCATTTTTTTATTATGCCATTTTTTCAATATTTGTTGGTACTTTTCCTGCAGGGTAAGCTTCTTTACTTGGAAAACATAAGTTTTGGCAACCCGCTGCTCTAAAGAAAAAGCTATGATTCATTATAGAATTGATGAAAGGTCAGCCAATAACCTT